ATTTAAAATATTGAGTTTCCTCTCCCGGAGCACGTTGCTTCGGCTTCATACTAGCCAGCCAACGTCCACAACAGGGATTAAGAGTCAGGTCTCTTATTGTCTAGTTTCTTACAAAGAAAAAAACGTGTTAGTTGGGTTCCGGCTTCATCCGAGCCAGCCATCGTTCACAACATCTTCTTTAGCTATATCCCGGCGGAGCTATATCCCTATTGTTTCTATAGGGCTCCGCCGGGATATAGCTAAAGAAGATGTTGTGAACGATGGCTGGCTCGGATGAAGCCGGAACCCAACTAACACGTTTTTTGTTTCTTTATAAGAAACAGACAATAAGAGACCAGACTCTTAATCCCTGTTGTGGACGTTGGCTGGCTAGTATGAAGCCGGAACCCAACGAACACGTTTTTTGTTTCTTTATAAGTAGCTTGATTGAATAAATTAACACAAATTTATTATAAAATATTTATTTAATTAATAAAATGGTTGTGTGTTTTGTTTGGTTAGATTGGTAGTGATAGGTCAACAGTAAATGCTTAAACCGTTAAAAAATGGATATTTTGAGGTGGTATTTATAGATATTGTAAATGAGCGTATGGAGAAAAACAGAAGATAACACAAAGAAATAATAACTTGGTAAAAAGGGCGAAAAAAAAAAGAAATAATAACTTGGTAAAAAGGACGAATAATCCAACATAACGTACAGAAAATTCTCTATTTGAATGCATCCAGTAATGTCAATCTCCAATAGAATGAAACATTACAAGGTTTTAAAAAATAGATGACAATGCATTCTTTTAGATTTTACGATATATGCTCGAATAATTGCTTTCCATGTAATTTTCAGGGGGATAATCTAATAAAAAGCATTTACTTCAACTCTAATTCAATATCTCAAAAGGGGTGCAGGGGGAGCTGTATTTGGACGTAAAATTCTTCTAGCATTAATAAAGAAATGAAAAAATTAACAAATTTTAAATACCTCTTTTGACACGTTGTAAACGCAGTGAGTTGATACACATAATTTCATTATCGAAGATATCGGAAAACTCCGATATTGACATTCACATTTTAAAACAAATAGTTAAAAAATTGAATGAGGCATAAAAAGATATTAATGAAATATATCAATTACTACGAATTATTAAATAATTTATTTGTAGATGAATCAAAAATATTTTTGTTATTATTAGTTGTTGCATATAGTTCGCCGTGACAGTAAATACTTTGACACTAACACTATATTTATCACAAGTAACGTACACAATATCGTCTACTGGTAATTTTCTTGGCAGATATACATATTGGGTCATAGAAGAATGGATATCCCGGATATAATGTTGGATGATAATCACGTTATTTCTTAAACAATTCATAATTTTTACGATTCATTTTTACGATTTACGTTATTTCGTAAACGATTCTTAATTTTTACGATTCATCATTTTTATCTTAAACACAGAGTTACTTTACCTTCTAATGAACTACCAATGACTCCTTTGCCGATTTTTAAGTCTGTTAATTGCATTCTGATAACTTTAACACTGCTTATTAGCTAATGTTAATTCTTAACCAGAACGATTAGAAATATTTTGTCATTCTTTTGAAAAACTTTCTATTGAGTTTCTTCCGAACAAAATCATTTTTTATGCATTGTAATAATGTTTGTATTAATATTGTATAAAAATGTATAAAAAATTTAATTATATATTGTAAAATAATAATAACTATAATATTAATGATTGTAATAATAATTGTAAATGTAATCTCTCTAAATGTAATTGAGTATAATGTTGGATATAGTTGTCTTATTTTAGTCTCGCAGCAGTAAGATGTTAAAACCTAAATTAAAAATTTTTTCTATGAAATTGAGTTGTTACCTACGCGTTAGCTCTATTTAAGATACAAATAAGAAAAAATTCACTGTAGTATCTATTTGTTCTAACTTTATCGTTCAAGCCAGAAACAAACGTTTTAAATTTTCACTAAAAATACTGAACCGAAATAAAATAGAAACGAATAGGAAGGGATAAAAAAACAGATGTTACAATAAAAAGAAAGATTATAGAGATAAATACTAGAGGGTGTGATGATTAAAGAATTGGAAATAAAAACAAATCAGAATTTTTAAAATTAAAAGTTTATAAATAAAGCTAAAATAGAAAATGCTAGTTGTTTAGGATACTGTACATATATGCTCAAAGAATTAACAGAGATAATTAATGATCAACATCTCTCTAAAAGGTGTAATTAATTGAAAATTTCAATTATGTGAGAGAAATTTGAACGTGCATTAGGCATTTGGGGCATTTAATTATTGTTTCAACATCTCGCTGAAAGTAGTAATTAATCGAGATAGTGTGTTAATTGTTAGAGAGCAATTATTCGAGCATATATCTTGAAATCTCTAAAAGAATGCATTGTCATTTATTTTTCAAAACCTTGTAATGTGTCATTCTATTGGAGATTGACATTACTGGATGCATTCAAATAGAGAATTTTCTCTACGTTATGCTGGATTAGGGAACCTGAGCGTGGTCACTTGAGCGTCAGCCAAATTTGATCGACTATAACTTTTTTAAGTTTGATCAAATCCAAATAAATCTTAAATCATTCTAAAGCCCAATCTTTAACCCAACTGGATGGATCAAGTCTAATCGTTGGTTAAAAATATAAAACTCGATAAGTGCAAAAATCGTTGTTTTTAGACATATCGACTTGTACTTTTTTATAGTGCGATCAGACTTGATTCATCCAATTGGGCAATAGACTGTTATATAAAACTTTTGTATTGAATTAAGCAGCAAAAAGTATAGCCGAACAAATTTGGCTAATGCTCAGGTGGCCCGTTACGATTATCTTGTTGTTCAATTTTTCAAACATTCAAATTTTCTTGTCATTAGAAACAATGTTGCCAACATGTTAGTCTAGAGCTTTTCCTTTCCTTTGTCTGTTGAAATTATTAAATTTATTTTTATCACCTTATTTTTTAATTTTGAAAAAAACGTTTTTTGTGAGTTGCGGGATTTTGCGGGATTTATCCGCAAAATTCTGTCCCTCAAAAATTTTGGAAAAAAATCCCGGATGAGGGATCTTCAATTTTCTAGTTATCAAATACTGGTTTCCTTCATGTTAGTCTTGAGCAGGTCCCTTTCCTTTATCTGTTGAAATTATTAAAATTTGTTTTTATCACCATATTTTTAAATTTTTGATAAAAAACCTTTAGGTCCTAGATTACTTCCTTGACGTTGTCTGCCTCGTTGACGGGAACTTAATCCTAAATTTATTATTTGATTAATTTATACTTTTCACTTATATTCCCAATTGTAGTATTAAAATAATTTGTCAAAAACAGATATTCTTTTTACCTTGATTTGACCCAGATTCCTGTCCTTGGGCAGGTTCTAAATTATTAAAATTTATATTTATACTAAAGTTCAGTGGTATCGGGATTTAGAGAAAAACCCGGGATCGGGATTGAGGAATGGTGATCTCGATCCCGGATCCCGACACGGGATCTGGATTAGCCGAAATCGGGATTTGGACTGGAGATCCCGTTCCCGATCCCGAATCGGGACCGGGATTAGAAAATCGGGATCGGGATTTACAAAAATTTTTTTTTTAATTTTTAACTTTTTATTTTCTTCACATACGACTCAGTATATAATTCTAAAATTGCACTGCGGTGCTGAAATATTGAGTTTAAATTTCATAGACGCATAATCTACTTTCCGGTTTAGGGGAGTAATGGGGGAGGGGGAAATAAATGGGTCTGGGCTCTTCCATTTTAAGCGCCACAGGCAAAAATTTTGAGAATTTCGGATGTCAAGATGCCAAATTTTTTCCATTTTCTGCGCCATAGGCAAAAATTTTTCTTACTTTCATGCCTTCCCTCTTCTGTTAACTTTATTTCACAGATTTCTAGTCAATTTATAAAGTCGGGATTTGCATCGGGATCTGATGCACATCCCGATCCCGGATCCCGGCTCAGGATTGAGATTGGCCGGGATCGGGATATTTATTTCGGGACCGGGATCAGAAAAATCGGGATCGGGATTCGAAAAACCCAGGATAATCCCGCCCGATCTCGACCGGGATCCCGATCCCGCTGAACTCTAATTTATACAAATGTAAAAATTGACTCTTTATGGTACAGCACACATCTGACCTTAATCATTTGTTGTTCAGCCTAGGTTAAATAATTGGAAAAATGGAGGGATGGAATATGAAATGACAAAGTATACGTTTTCGAAAGTTGTAAAGGATAAGTAAAGGGAATGGAAATGAATTACCAATAAAATGTGCAAGAAAGAAATAATAATTGTAAAGGAAGGTTAGTTACTAGAAAAAGATACATAAGTGAACTAAAAATAAATTGTTTACGTGAAATAAGGCTGGGGTCGGGACTAAAATAGAATGCAAGTATCGAATCTCGAATCTGGTGTTTACAAGAATATTTTTTCTCTCGTATTTATTTAATAAAATTAAAAATATTTCATATGTGTATACCTCCAATTATCACTCCACTATTTCGACCTCGTCCTCTTTGATATTCTTCAGCAGACTGATCAATAGCTTGTTGTATTTCTCGAGCATCAAATCCTAGTTTTTAAATTTTAATCATAAAATTGTTCAACAAATAAATCACATTCTTACTTACCCATCGAAATCTATGTAAGCTAACATATAAAATAGATAGGGAAGGATTCAATAGAAGAAATTTTTAATTTTCAATAAAAATACCTCCATGTTGTGGTGCCTCGGCGTGGTCTGTTTTACTAGAACTTCCTCCTAAATTTACTAAATAAACAATTAAAAATTTATTTTTATGTAATACTTATATATTCTTAATTTATCGGAATTTGTTATAAAGCCCAGTTTCAAGTCTCTTGGTTTGCGTGCTCTTTATCTTTCGGTTGTGACGGAGTATAATCAATATATTGAAAATGATAGGTGCTTTATTTACGTATATCCCATCCCCACCCCTATATGGGTCTATATATAATTTTATAAATTTACAAAAATATTTACCTTCTCCTCCATTATGGTATTGTGGATTATGTTTTCTTGTCTGTATGTAGTTATTTTCTTTATATTCATATTTAACTCGCCCTCCACAATTTCTTTTATTACATATGTAATGTATATTTCCATTTTTAAATTTTCCTTCTTCATTATATTCAAAACCCTTCCAAACTAATTTATTCTTCCCTCTTTGCGATTGTATAATATAAGGTTCTTCTTAAAAACAATAATTAACTAAAAAATATACTAAAACGACCCCCCGCGTAATTATCACCGCTGGAAAAGGGATAAATCCCCCTGTTACACTTATTACCAGTGCTGGCTATTTGCCATTTGTTGCCTCCGGCTCCGGGCTCCGGGTTTTCAAATTTCTGGCTCCAGCTCCGGGGTTTCAAAATCTTGGCTCCGGCTCCGGGCTTTTAAAATCTTGGCTCCGGCTCCGGAGCCAAGATTTTAGGAGCCACTCCATGTTGGCTCCGGGTCCGGGTGGAAAATCGATGAATTATTTTTCATTGGGGGATTTGGGTAGATAAAGGGGGATATCGAGTGATATAAGAGGAATAAGAGAGTTATCAATGAATTAAGCGGGATTTGGGTGGATTATCATGTTATTAGGCTACTCTTCCAAATTACTGGATCCATGTTTAAAATTTTAGCTTGCACAGTCTGAAAACAGATTAGACTATTAAAATAAAGTCATATTAAGATATTTATTTCTTAGAATAATAAAGGCTGGATAGTTGCTTTAAAATGATAATTGCAATAAATATAAAGTTTTTATGTGAAATAAAGCAAATAAATCACATTCTTACTTACCCATCGAAATCTATGTAAGCTAACATATAAAATAGATAGGGAAGGATTCAATAGAAGAAATTTTTAATTTTCAATAAAAATACCTCCATGTTGTGGTGCCTCGGCGTGGTCTGTTTTACTAGAACTTCCTCCTAAATTTACTAAATAAACAATTAAAAATTTATTTTTATGTAATACTTATATATTCTTAATTTATCGGAATTTGTTATAAAGCCCAGTTTCAAGTCTCTTGGTTTGCGTGCTCTTTATTTTTCGGTTGTGACGGAGTGTAATCAATATATTGAAAATGATAGGTGCTTTATTTACGTATATCCCATCCCCACCCCTATATGGGTCTATATAATTTTATAAATTTACAAAAATATTTACCTTCTCCTCCATTATGGTATTGTTTTTCATGTTCTTTTGTTAATATGTACTTATTTCCATCATATATAACTCGCCCTTTACAATGATTTTTGCTACATACCCAATATATATTTTTATTTTGAGGTAATTTATTTTCTTTGGTATATTCATAACCACCCAAAGCTAATTTTGTTTTCCCTCTTCCCGTTTTTCCAAAAACAGGTTTTTCTTAAAAACAATAATTAACATATTTACTCAAATGATTCCCCTGTGTAATTATTATATTAGCGTTTTATCGACCGTTTTTTAAGAAAGTAATTATAATTTAAACCTCTGGCTGATGGGATTAATTGTAAATTCGAAGTTTTCGCTAGCACCTTTGCAAAAGAAATAAAATCCCGCTGTCACTCTTATTACTCCTCCAAATTACTGATATGCCCAAACCGCACTGCAAAATTTGGCTTCATGTTTAAATTTCGGTATTTTTCACCCTCCCTATTTTGAGTCTCAGAGTTGTAATAATGGTCAGCCTTTTTCCTTCCATAATTTCTATCCTTTCCCTGTAGAATATGTATTTAAATGGAGGCATTAGTAAATAAAGGTTATTTAATAATCTTTTCTTTACTAATGCCTTCATTTTATATGCCACATGGAAGTAGAGTGGAAGAAAGGCTGACCATTTTTACAACTCTGAGTCTCAAAATTGGAGGGGGGGGGGTGATATATCCATAAAGTACCTAAATTTCTAACTGGCCCAATTATACTCAGACATTAGATCCGAAACCCGATAAAGAATGCAAGTTATTTAAAAATAAAATTATTCAATTTTTTGATCTTTGTTGGAAATTTTAAATATTACCATTTATAATTCTTCCTTTTTTTACAAAAACGCAAGTGTGTTTAGCTAGATATTCAATCTCAATCTTCAATTCTTTTAATTCTTCATCGTTTATTTGTTTCAATTCTTCAATATTAACTCCTTTTGTAACAACTTTTCCCTCACATTTAGAATAAAAGTATTTATTGCACGCCCAAGTTATAGTCTTCATTTTATCATTATGACTAAAATATTTATATTTAAAACCATCATATTTTAAAATACGTCCTCCTTTTTTTGTTTTAGCAAAAGTGAAATTGTTATCTTAAATTTATGCATAAAAATAAAATTATTATCATTCTTTAGCAATCCTAGGATTTAACTTAAAATATCGGACAAAGGTACTCTGCGTTTATATACCCCCACGTCCGCAAATGTTAGTCCGCACTTTTTTTCCTTTTCCTTCTTCTTCATTCTCCTCTCACAATGATGATAAATGGTCAAGCATCAATAAACCCCCATTTTCTTTGTCTTCTCCTTCTTTACTCTTTTCATTTTGATTAAAATGGTCAAGTAAAAATAAAACAATGTTTAGAAATTATTTTGGAGGCTATTGCAGCGAAAACTCAGTTGGTCACAATTTTGCTTAGAATCATCGAATAAAGCTGATTCTGGTATTATTCGACTCAGCTCGACGAGTTCAATCAAATGAGCTATCAATCACTTGCATTTCGTATTTTTCACTCCAAACTGAGCTTACTCTACCTATGGTTTTTGACCTTTTCGAGCTATATATCTCGGTTCCTAGGTACCGGACCAACTTATACCTGCACTAATTCGACTAAGCTTTCCAAGCTCTTTCGAATGACGCCATACTTATTCTGTTTCGACACGGTGAAAAATGGGCATATAAGTGAAGAGTGCCAAATTCTTGACCTCTATTTTTACTTGACCATTTTAATCAAAATGAAAAGAGTAAAGAAGGAGAAGACAAAGAAAATGGGGGTTTATTGATGCTTGACCATTTATCATCCTTGTGAGAGGAGAATGAAGGAGAAGGAAAAGGAAAAAAGTGCGGACTAACATTTGCGGACGTGGGGGGTATATAAACGCAGAGTACCCGGACAAATTGGTCAAATAATTTCAGATATTTGATTTTACCGATTTATTATATGTAATACTAGACAATCTTTGGTTACATTGATAAAATGTTTATCTTTATTTTATATAAATATTTTGAGGAAATCATCATTTATTTATTTCGGAGTTGATTCACTTTAAAGGGTCTATGAAATTGAGGTAGACGGTTAGAAGTAACACCCTCAGAAGTTTTCAAAACAAGCGGAAACTGTTTTTTGTGCATATAAATCCTTCAATCCGTTTGGTCAAGTACCTCGAGGATATGGCGATTATCCATAATAAGTAAAAAGGGACTCTTTGCGAGGCGCGACATTCGCGATTCCTACGCCCGTATGTTTATTTTTGTTTTTTATTTGTCACTTTTGAAAGAGCTTTAAACTTTTGACAAAAATTTTTCCTTGTGGGGTCTTTTGTCTAGGGTTTTCTGTCATACGCCATTTCTATATAATTTCAGAAGTTTTTTTAAATAAATTTACTATATGCTCCTGTGTAAAGTTATTTTTTTTACTTTGTTTACCTGTATGACAAGAAGAATTCATCCCAAGTGTTAAATCCAAATTTGAACGATTTAAAGAAGTATCTTGACCAGAAAAATTCGTTCCTTGATGGTATTCTGCACCCATATGTTGATCTTGAGTTGGGTATACAGATTGATTACGGCCAAGAGTTAAATCCAAATTTGAACGATTTAAAGAAGTATCTTGACCAGAAAAATTCGTTCCTTGATGGTATTCTGCACCCATATGTTGATCTTGAATTGGGTATACAGATTGATTACGACCAAGAGTTAAATCCAAATTTAACAGATTTTGAGAAGAATCTTGACCAGAAGGATTATTATGCTGCTGTTGATATCGATAATAGTCATATCCTAATTGCAAATCACAAAAATTTCGAGGTACTTGACCAAGCGGATTCACTTGTAGATGTTGAGGTGAGTTTAAAAATGGATTATTGCCATAACCTGGATTCAAATCTAACAAATTTTGAGAATGTTCTGTGCCAGAATACATTCCTTGAGAGTATCCTCCAGTATTTGTGGGTATGCTTCCTGTTCCAGTTCCTCCATGGCCACTAGTTCCTGTCCCGCTTGTTTCAACATCTTGATTTTGAAAACGATTGAAATAATTATTTTGATCATTTTCATCATCGCTATTAGTTGAATCAACAAGATGAGGCGTTAAAAATAAAAAAAGAAATAAAAATATTGAAAGCTTCATTCCTTTCTGGAATTAATTTAAAAATATTTGTATTTAATAATTTAAAAATATATTTAAGAGTTAAATCCCTAATTGACTCTAAATGCTAAATAAATGCTAAGCTTTTCTTATTTTTGTTAAATAGTAAGAGACTGATTTTATCAACTATCTTAGCCGATTTATAGAGGGTATAAATTTATTATAAATAAAAATATTTTTCAAAAGAAACATATTTTGGCCTTTTTCCCTATCTTAAGACGTAAGAAACCTAAAATAGGGACCTGTTTCTCAATTATCCGTGTCTAAAACTACTTATCACTTAGGGAAAATTTTTAAAATTGAACAAATATTTATTAATTATAATACAGGGTGTTTCAGCTGAAAAGCGCTATTTGAAAAATTAATAAACTTTTACTGCGTGGACAGATTTAAATGAAATTTTGTATTTTGCATCTATATTTTATGGCAATTTTTTTGACATAAAAATTATGTCGAAATTCGAACCCTAACCCGAGATAATTTCGTACTCTATCGTTCTGTTTTTCCCTTTTTCCGCACAAGCATTCTTACTTCCTTTTGTTTTTTTTGAGGGACGATAGACATTAGAGTAAACACTAAGTGATAGACACTACATTTTCAATACAGTATCCACTCTTCGCCATACGCAGGAAAATAAATGCACTAAGATAGCGCGCAATGAAAAGAGAAAGAAAAGAGAACGGTAGAGTACGAAATTGTACGAAATTGAAATACGGGGTTAGGGTTCGAATTTCGACATAATTTTTATGTCAAAAAAATTGCCATAAAATATAGATGCAAAATACCAAATTTCATTCAAATCTGTCCATGGTGTAAAAAGTTATGGATTTTTCAAATAGCGCTTTTCAGC